TAAATCATTTATTTCTCTTTTTCTGTGTTATTTTCTCCTGTTTCTCGAATAGGTTCTTCCTTGCGATATAGGACGCTGCATGCAATGTAGTGACAGAGTCCCTTGAATGCACAGTGGGCTCATTTGGTATTGTTGCTGAACCATCGAGAGTTGGGAGCTGCCAGTGTTGATTCTTTCCCAGTCTTCTCATGCTGAATTAGTTACATAGGATCTCTCAACTAGGATGGTGGGCAAGACTATGCAATTTCCCCTTAATGAGGAAAGGAAAATCTTCCATGTATTCAAGTGTGACTATAACCCAACGGCTCTCCACTGAGAGTCGGGAGAGGTCTTGGATTTCTACCCCTAGCGCTCTCTGGCACTCCCAGCAGGTGGTCAATGTGTTGACGTGTCTTACATGTCAGCAATGGGGCTCAGCTGTGAAACTGCATGATTGAATAAGCTGCCAAATCTTGCTGCCAGGGATTCTACGTTAATAATGACTGCCAGGCAGTCATACCAAAAGTCCTAGTGTGCTCACAGCTTAAACCCAACAAAGAGTTGAATTGTTCAGTAAATGAAGAAGTTGAGTTGGCAGAGAGGAAGAAATGATAGGGCAGACATACAACTGTAGCAGGAGCTACTGATGTTGCCGCATGCAGTATTCACAGAAAACCCAGCCTAGGCTAGTACTGCAGCTCATCACAACAACTGAAGAGTAGAAGGGAAAGAAGCAGAAGCAATCTACTTGGACCCCAGCTCAACCATTCATTTGGATTTTGGATGATCTATCTCTTTTATTTTCATTCATTCTATCATTCATGGGATGAGGCCTCTGGTCTCTGGGAAGAGGTTCCAAAATCTTGTAACTCCCTCGCTAACAGCATTGTGGTTGTTCCTAAACCAAAGGGACTGCAGTGGTTCAAGAAGGCAGCTCACCACCACCACCACCTTCTCAAGGGCAACTTGGGATGGATAATAAATGCTGGCCTCCCCATTGATGCTCATGTCCCATGAATGAAAAAAAAATTCAAAATTTTAACACAGAGACAATAAAAGAGTGACAATATATTTCCAAGATAGTGAGTGACCTGGAGGGGAACTTGCAGATGGTGGTGTTCACACATACTTGTTGCCCTTGTCCTTCTGGATGGAAGTGGTCGTGGGTTTGGAAGGTGCTGTCTAAGGAGCATTGGTGAATTTCTGCAATGTTTCTTGTAGATAGTACACATTGCTCCCAGTGAACATCGGTGATAGAGGGAGTGAATGTTTGTGGATGTGGTGCCAAGCAAGTGGGTTGCTTTGCCCTAGATGGGTGTTGTTGGAGCCGCTGTTGGCTTTAACTCCATCGTTCCATCTGCCCACATGACCCTTATCAGTCAAAAAATCTAAATCAGCCTTGAATGTATTCAGTGACTCAGCCACCACTGCTCACCAGAGAAGAGTTCCAACAACCCTCTGAGAGAAGATTAAGTGACCTCTTACTGTGAAACTGACTCCCTAGTTCTTAAATCCTCCTGGAAGGATAACATCCTCTCATCACTCTTAACAGAATTATTGACACCAAACCAACTTCTTCTTGACCTGTAAAGGAAATTGGTTCGGCCACTTTTGCAGTACTGCATTTACTTCTGGTCTCCCTGCTAAAGGAAAGATGTTGTCAAACTTAAAAGGATTCAGAAAAGATTTACAAGGATGTTGCCAGAGTTGGAGGGTTTGAACTATAGGGAGAGGCTGAATAGGCTGGGGCTATTTTCCCTGGAGTGTCAGAGGCTGAGGGGTGACCTTGTGGAGGTTTATAAAATCATGAGGGGCATTGATAGGGTGAATAGCTGAGGTCTTTTCGCCAGGGTAGGGGAGTCCAAAACCAGAAGTCATAGGTTTAAGTTGGGAGGGGAAAGATTTAAAAGGGACCTAAGGGGCAAATTTTTCACACAGAGGGTAGTGTGCGTATGGAACAAGTTGCCAGAGGAAGTGGTGGAGGCTGATACAATTACAACATTTAAAAGGAATCTGGATGGATATGTGAATAGGAAGGGTTTAAAGGGATTTGGGCCAAATGCTAGCAAATAAGACTAGACTCATTTAGGATATCTAGTTGGCATGGATGAGTTGGATCTAGGGTCTGTTTCCATGCTGTATAATTCTATGACTCGATAAAACAGCGTGTGGATACATCAATGTACAATACCACAATATCTCTTTAATTGTATACATAAGGACATGGGACTCTGGTATAGGAGTGGGTCACGTGGCCCCTTGAACCTGCCCTGACATTCAATAAGATCATGGCTGATCCACTTGTGGTCTCAACACTACTTTCCTATCATCCCCAATAACCCTTGACTCCATTGACTATCAAAAATTGACTTTCTTTCCAAATGCAGTGAACTTAGTGTAAGTTTCGTTAGGTTCTTACCAAGTCAAATGAATGACTGTAAATTCATTCACAATTTCATGCACATTTTGCTGTGTAGACTCTCAGTTCAGGATATGAATACTCACAATGGCTGGAGAAAAGTTGAGTTAAGTCAATGAATTGATACCGCTAAATTAGTCATTCGCTATTAGATAGTAATGTGGAAGCACGGGCATATTAACATATGGAGAAGAGCCATCTGTGCTATATTTAGCTTTAGTTGAAGCCTTGAAAATACATTTGGGTCTGAATCTTCTCCTTTGCAGTTAGAGTGCAGTGGGCAGTGTGTTTCCTGAAGTCTGCCACAGTCCAGGGTAAATCTTCTCAAGTGACCTTTTACTTTTCACTTCATTAATCATCCAACCATTTCTGGCCAATTGTGTGGCCAATGAGGCAGGTATACTGGCTACTTTTAGTTTGCCGTAATTAAAGGTTAAAAGTCACATGACACCAGTTTATAGTCCAACAGGTTTATTTGAAAACGCAAGCTTTCGGAGCTCCACCAGCTCCTTCCTCAGGCGTAGTGTGAGAGAGAGGGTATAAAACATAGAATTTATACGCAGAAAAGTAACAATCCTAAAACTGGATGCCTCTTGTTGAATCTTTAATTAGTTAGGAAGAACACTACTGATTAAAGTGCAAAATCCAGATTCCACTCAAGTCATTGTCCCAAGATAATTAAAGGTTTTATCAATGTATACAAGAGGTGACATCTCAGGTCAGACAATGCATTTTAGGTTTGAGGTCTTGCTTAGAAGCTGTCTATGTTTTAAACTGGGGTCACACATACACACACACGCTTGCACACTTACACAGTCCCCCTCTCCCTCTCACACACACACACACACACACACACACTCTCTCTCTCACATACACACACTCCCTCACATTCACACTATCTCAAGCGCACACACACATACACACACACACACTCTCTCTCTTTCTCTCTCTCTCACACACACACGTGCACACAAAGACACACGCAGTCACGAACGCACATGTGCACATACACACACACACAGACACACACACACACACGCACACAAATTATTTCATCCGAGATATTTGTGTAGCTGCAGATACATTCTGTTTTGCTCAAAAAAACCTGACCCCACAGGTATCCAATCTGAAAAACAACCTTCCACCACCATCCTCTGTCTCCTATCGTCAGCCAACTTTGTATCCAATTAACAAGCTCCCCCATATCCCAAGTGATCTAACTTTTCTGATTAATCTACTGTCCGGAGCCTTTTTAAAGGCTTTACTAAAGTCCATGTAGACAATGTCTGCTGCTCTGCCCTCAACAATCTTTTTGGTTATGTCCTCAAAAGACTCAATCAAGTTTGTGAGACGGTTAGACCAGCAGTCAAGTGTTTGTTGAAACTGATTGCAAGTTATTTTATTGCAATCTATTGCTGAATGTTCCTTCAGAATAAAATGATAAAGTTATGAATGAGAAATGACAGATACCAAGATTAAAATGGATACTGATAAGACAGTCAAATACATAAAAGGGGAAAGTCCCAGTAGTTTAATCAGGCATCTGGATTTTGCATTTTGATCAGCAGTCTCCTTCCTAACTGCTTAAAGATTGATCAAGAGGCGGTCAGTTTTAGGGTTGTTACATTCTGCTTATAAATTCTGTGTCTTATACTCTCTCTCACACTATGCCTGAGGAAGGAGCTGAGCTTCGAAAGCTTGCATTTATCAAATAACCTGGTGTCGTGTGATTTATGGCCTTGTCCACCCGAGTCCAACACCAGCATCTCCACATCATGGCTGTAATTAAAGCCCAGCCTGTTATGATCAGATCCTGAGTGAGGTTCCCCAATGTACTATGATTCAGATGGGGTACCCAACATGACAAGTTTGTGAAAACTGAAAGAACTGTGGATGCTGTAAACCAGAAACAAAAATAGAAGTTGCTGGAAAAGCTCAACAGGTCTAGCAGCATCTGAGAAGAAAAATAGGAGTTAACATTTCGGGTCCCATGACCCTTCCTCAGAATTAGTTTGCGGGTGAGGTTGGATGAAAATTCTCCTTTTTTTTATTCACCCATTGTTTCGGTTGGTTGCAACATGGTTAATTTTAAAAGAATCCCTTCCCTTCTACATTTCCTTTTCTTCCAGACCCAAATGAGCTCATATTTTAAAAGGAGTCAGTTTAACAAGGGTTCCTTGAATTAACAAAAAAAGCAAGTTTATGCATTAGAATTAGTAACAACGCATATATGCACAAATTAGAAATTAGGCAAATCCTTTATTTATTCATGGGAAGCAGGCATCACTGGCTGGGCTTCATTTATTGCCCAAAGGGCAGTTAAGAGCCAACCACATTGCTGTGGGTCTGGAATCACATGTAGGCCAGACCAGGAAAGAATGGCAGCTTCCTTCCCTTAAGGGCATTAGCAAACCAGATGGGTCTTTCTGACAACCAGCAATGGATTCATGGTCATCATTAGATTTTTAATTCCAGGTATTTTATTGAATCTGCCATGATGGGGATTTGAACCTGGGTCTCTAGATTAACAGCCCAGCAATAATACCACTAGGCCGTTGCCTCCCCTGAAACAAAGGCTGACACAGTTAGGAATTGCTCATTTTGCCGAAACCTGGGATTGAAGCAGGGACCTTTTGATCTTCAGTCTTACACTCTCCCAACTGAGTTATTTCGGCTGAAAGATAAAAACTAAATACATGGACATGCAGTTCAGTCCCTGAATTGTTTGTGACGACCAGATAGTTGAACTTTGTGGTTATTGCATTGTTGACTTACACAGTCCTTAGTTGCTTCACAATGCTTTGTGTTGCAGATTGGTTGACATTCTGTAGTTCTGGTTCCTTTTGACAGTGATTGAATTCCAGCATTCTGGGTAACAGAGTCCTTTGTGCCTTTGTTTTTTTTTAAAATGTTTTGCATTACATAGAATTAAAGAGACTCCTTTACTTGCAACACAGAGGTGAATAAGGGATAGTTATTGGATTGTGACTGTAATAGCACATTAATGCTTGAACACAGGCTGGCACACACAACAGTGCTCAGTCCCACTAGTCCACTCCTATAATGTTGAAACTAATGTTTTAACCTATGTCCTTATGTGTTGTTCAAAAGGAAAAACACAAGATGTGCTTCAGTTTTAGGCATAATCCACAGGAACTGGCTTGCTGTAGAGCCAGGGTTATTAGTCCTTGATTATCTTTGTTCCCCCAAGACATCAGAGTCTAGCCTGTCTGAAGTTCTGACAACATTTGTTGTGTTACATTACATTGGTGTCTCTCTCTCTCTCCCTCTCTCATGTACTTAACTGACATTCATATCAATTTTTGGTTGTATCAAGCCTGCTTTATTAAAACAGGACCAAAAACAGAAGCTGCTGGAGAAGCTCAGCAGGTCTGGCAGCATTTGTGAAGAAAAAATCAGATTTAATGTTTCGTGTCTGGTGACACTTCCTCAGAACTGATGGTAGCTGGGAAAACTTTGGTTTATACATGCAGAAAATAGGGAGGGGGAGGGGGTAGGGAGTAAACAATAGGATAGAGCCAAAGAGAGAGAAGAGCAGTTGGATAGACAAAGGGGTTGTTAATGATCTCACGAGGAGGGTGAATAGTTGTTAATGGGGACTGTTAGTGACCAGCAACAGAGGGTGTGTAATGGCAGGCTATGTGATAACAAGGCCTGGTGTGTGGGGTAGGGGGCTGGGACATTGGAGAGGTTAGGCCCTAAAATTATTCAGCTGTTTTATATTTAAAAAAACACGCCTTGGAATTACAGTAAAAACTATCCACAGTATTTTGGGACTCTGACCTGTCATCATCACAAGATCTATCTTACCGAGGCTATTGCATACATAATATCCACTCAAGGATACCTGTGTCTTCCTGTAAAACTACTGACCCTTCCTGTCCTGTGTGTTTCCTGCTCACTCACTCACTCGCAACACCTCATCACCTCTTCTGCTCATGCGTGACCATTGGCTGCTTCCACAACCACTTCCATCAAATTCAATCCCTCCCTTTTATCTCATTACCAGAGAACTGGCTCACCATCTGCACTGATCTATCAAACTGAACCTTGACTGACCGACTTGTAATCCCAGGACTGCCTGCACATGACCTGCAGGCCTGACTATGGCCTACCCCTTGTTTGTCTTCATTCGAGTCTCTTGGCTGACAAATGGGTGGTATCCTCTGACTCATGGTGATCCCTTTCACAGCACTCCCCCTTTGCTTGAAGCAATACGTATGCCACCTAAGTTGCTGGCACGTACCGAAACTCTGGCATTGATGTAGAATGGTGCCACACATTGATATGTTGGTCGTCTGTGCGAGTGAAACATTTACTCTTCAGTGAACTACACTGTTGCAAACTGTGTGCTCCCGCCCTGCTAAAAAGCCAACTGAGAGGCTGGTAACTTGTAACTCAGCACTCTTGACATTGTGTTCTAAGAAAGCAATGTGACCCACATAGGGGCTGGCACTCTCGGTATGAAAGTCAGTGAATGTGAAGAGAGAGTGATCAGGCAAATTGACAGCAGGACCCAGAAAATCTGATAAAGGATCGGTGGACATGAGAGAGCTGGTCTTATCACCGTGAAGTTTAAAACTAAACTCTGCTGGGTTTTGGTAACCTTTAAACTTTGTACAAGAAATGACAATATACATATTACAATTCCCACATTTCTTTGTCCAGGTGTCTTACAATATCTGTCTTTAAAAGTATAAAAACTAGGAACAGGAGTAGGCCATACTGCTCCTCGAACCTACACTGTCATTGCAGAACACCTACGCTCGGTTCGCAATAAACAACTGCACCTCCCAGTCGCGAACCATTTCAACTCCCCCTCCCATTCCTCAGACGACATGTCCATCCTGGGCCTCCTGCAGTGCCACAACGATGCCACCCGAAGGTTGCAGGAACAGCAACTCATATTCCGCTTGGGAACCCTGCAGCCCAATGGTATCAATGTGGATTTCACAAGTTTCAAAATCTCCCCTCCCCCTACCGCATCCCAAAACCAGTCCAGCTCGTCCCTGCCTCCCTAACCTGTTCTTCCTCCCACCTATCCCCTCCTCCCACCTCAAGCCGCACCTCCATCTCCTACCGACCAACCTCATCCCGCCCCCTTGACCTGTCCGTCCTCCCTGGACTGACCTATCCCCTTCCTAACTCCCTACCTACACTCACCTTTACTGGCTCCATCCCCGCCTCTTCGACCTGTTTGTTTCCTCTCCACCTATCCTCTCCTCTATCCCTCTTCTATCCGCCTCCCACTCTCTCCCTATTTATTTCAAAACCCCCTTCCCCTCCCCCTTTTCTGATGAAGGGTCTAGGCCCGAAACATCAGCCTCTCTGCTCCTATGATGCTGCTTGGCCTGCTGTGTTCATCCAGCTCTACACCTTGTTGTCACTGTCATTTAATTGTCTATATTTCACCAAAGGCTGGCTCTATCTTGCTGATAGATCTGATATTACTATTCTGTCATTGTCCATCTGTGGTCCCCATTTGTTTTACAATATGATTTAAAATTCAACGCTTAACTAAATTAAACTGATTCAACCTTTTAAATGATACTATTTTTGTGTCCATGTCAGTGGAAAAAACCCCTGTGTAGATGCATCACAATGTCAGCCAGCACATGAAAGGCAGGTTGTAGTTCAGCTCCAAGGAAAAGAGTCGTGTGCCCGAAGTGGTGCCTGAGTTCAGCTGAGAGCAGACGATGATGATGTGGTGATTTGTTTCTGCTGCATTGTGTGAATGAAAGTTTCAGCAGGAGGATGGCCCAGGAACGTACAAAAGCAGCAGTGCCCTGATTGCTGGGACACACATTATGGAACTGCAGCATCCAGGTAGCTGCTCTGTTTTACCTGTCAGGAACAGGCACATTCAATTTTCTTGGCTGGAGAGGAGAGTTAGAAGTGGGATCTAAATAAGGCGAGGTTGGGCCATAACGAGATGCAAATGCATGAAAATAAGGTAGTCACACTCAAGTGCGTGAATTTAACATTGCAATTTAAGGATTAAAGGGGAGAATTGGGAAAATGTTTTGTGATGTTGAGAAGCTGATTATTTTTCATTCTTGTTTCTTCTCACCACAGTTCCTATTACTGTCACTATACAATGGGGAGGGGAATATCTGGCCTTTGATTTTTTTTTTATTTCACTCATTTCAGCTTTCTAACAATGACGTTGAATCGTCACTCTCCAAAAACCCACTCCTTGTCTCAATCTATACAGTTTGCTTTGATTCATCAGTAAATTCCTGTATGTATCCGTACTGTTTCTGAATTCCTTTTTGATTCCTAATTTTCAGATAATTTACAGTTTTATATTCCTCAGTGGTGATGTGTAGATCAGATTAACAATTCTCTTCACACTTTTAAAAACATCTCTATCAGATCACCATCAAGTTTTCTTTTTCCTGATGTGAACAAGCTTCATCTAAATTATAATAACAGTAAATCCTAATTCTAATTCTAATTCATGACCGTATCTTTGTAAGCCTCTTGTGTGGCTTTGTAGAAAAACACATTCTATCCCAGGAGCTGAGATAACAAGGTGTAGAGCTGGATGAATACAGCAGGCCAAGCATCATCATAGGAACAGGATGCTCCTATGATGCTGCTTGGCCTGCTGTGTTCATCCAGCTCTACACCTTGTTATCTCAGATTGTCCAGCATCTGCAGTTCCTACTATCTCTGATACAATCCTATCCCAGAAGCTGTTAGAGTCATAGAGTCATAGAGTAATACAGCATGGAAACAGGCCCTTCAGCCCAAACTGGCCCATGCTGACCATGGTGCCCTCTCAAATAGTTCCAGTTGCCTGCATTTGGTCCAATCCCTCTAAACCCTTCTCATCCATTTACCTACCCAAATGTTTTTTAAATGTTGCTATTGTACCTGCCTCAACCACTTTCTCCGGCAGCTCATTCCATATACGTACCACTCTCTGCCTGCAGAAGTTGCCCCTCAGGTCCTTCTTAAATCTTTGCCCTCTCACCTTAAACCTATGGCCTCTAGTTTTCAATTCCCCATCCCTGGGAAAAAGAGTATATGCATTCATCTTATCTATGCCCCTCATGATTTTATACACCTCAATAAGGTCATCCCTCATTCTCCTACGTTCCAAGGAATAAAGTCCTATCTTGGCCAACCTCTCCCTATAACTCAGGCCGACTAGTCCTGGAAACATCCTCGTAAATATTCTTTACACACTTTCCAGTTTAACTATGTCTTTCTTATAACAGGGTGACCAACACTGCACACAATACTCCAAGTGCGGCCTCACCAATGACTTATACAACTGTAACATAATGTCCCAACTCCTTTACTCAATGCCTTGACCGATGAAGGCCAGCATGCTAAATGCTTCTTCACCATCCTGTCCACCTGTGACGCCGCTTTCAATGAACTATGTACTTGTACTCCTAGTTCCCTCTGTTCCACAACACTCCTCAGGATCTTACTATTTACTGTATAAATCCTACCTTGGTTTGACTTTCCAAAATGCAACATCTCACACTTACCTGTACTGAATTGCATTTTCCAATCCTCAGCTCACTTCGCCATCTGATCAAGATCCCTCTGTAATTTTATATAACCTTCTTCGCTATGAATGATACCTCCTAATTTTGTATCATCTGCAAACTTACCAATCATCCAGATTATTTATGTA